ACACCCGCCATGTATTTTTGTTCGTTCCAGTTTGAATATCTTGTCGACACCATGTTGCTGTGCATCAGAGGATATAACAAATGTTTTACTTTACTAGTAGATGAATGACATTATTATAAATTATATATACGATATACAAAATGTAAGGTTATAGTTAAATCAACATTGTGGCTCTGAGTAGGCTTCTGAATAGCGTGGGTGCTACCCAGAGAGAGCCCCATTAAAAAACAGATGGCACTCTGGCTAGCTATGGAGGCCAGTTTGTACATAGAAATTCATAGATTCTGAAGTGAATTCCTGAGTTTCCATGGCTATCCTCTAACCTACGTACCTTGAGAAGTGAAGCACCTGCTATTCTATCCAAAGGTGTCATCAGGTCTGGGTCAATGACCAGGTCTTTTCTTCCTGGGAGCTGAAGGCAACAGAGAATTGACACATTGCAGTAAACCATCTTTTTAAACCTCCTTGGTATTACTAAACTGCACATACTACCATTATATCAAATGTAACAAAATTTTATACTTGTAAGGTTATACAGGTTCAAATATCATTCATCTAAAATTAAAATCATACTGGCACATCAAAATATTCAACACTTCTAGGTTCACTTCCGGGTATGCACTTCTAGTGGCAAGAATATTTCTGAGGAAGTTGTTGACTAGGTTGAAACAAATTAACTTTACTGTAATAGGGCCTAATAACTTTGTAACGATACGAAATTTGCATTCTATATTCAAGTGTTGCTCTTGTTCTTCAATTAAGAACGGTACAGTTAAGCCTACTTTTTTTTACCATCTAATTCTAAATAGTGCAACTAAATATGTTTGTACGAGATATCCATGTGGCCCCTCCCCTTCAAAACTATGACGTTTCTGTGTAAGCTTGCGATCAGTTTTGTTCCTTGCAACTAGGTACTGATGACAGTTGTGACTTTCGTTGACCTACCGACTCCAACAGATGGACAAGCTGGTCCCTTGCAAGCCGCTTTAGGTACTGAAGATCCGGCAGCTTCGGGCCGAGCACAGCTGAAACCGCCATCTTTGCTGCAGATTTTAATCTCTGCACTAGGTGGCGCTTCTGTACAGTCAACCTTTCCTTCAGTTATCAATGATTTCGCTAGGTGCGCTTTTGTACCATATACTAGTCTGGTTAATATTCTAAGCTGTATAAGATGATATAAAGCCACGACTGCAAAAATAGTAATGTTTCGTCTTTTCAGTCCATGAGCATTCTAAACGGATTGATGTACAAATTTCATAGCCGGAGGTGTCATCTACACAGAGCAAACTCCACACTTCACCCTGATTGTAGGTTCAATTTCATTTTAATCCTTGACTGTAGTAACAACCCATCCAAAGGTCATCAGTACATGTCAGTCCTTCTGGTGTGACTGAAAATCTGGACTCATAGTGACCATGCCTATTACAATAAGACTTCTTACAATTGAAATTACAGTAAGATATATGGTATATAACACTACTATATAACTAAACCAGTTATTATAAAGTCATTATTACATAAACAAGCCATGCTTTCTCTTGTAAGCAAATAATAAAGTAAATGTACATTGTACATATAAATGACAGTAATACAATCATACTATGTCATACTGTGTCATAATGCCAGCTGTATTATACAAGATCTTCCAAAGTTTTTTTTTTAATTTTCATATCAATAATGATTACATCATAGCAATGAACACTGGTATACTGATGTCCCATTGGAGACATACCAGTACATGTGAAAGTAAACAAACTAGAAGGACAAGCTCAACAATTCCCAAAGTGCAGGTTTAGAATGAAAACTGTAGAGCAAACCAACTAGGCAACTACCATTGCATAAATGGTAGTATCCTGATGTCAAGCTTTCTGTTGATGTCTCAATATAATGTTGAAGTTTACAAGTTATATAAGTTCCTAAAATGTTACTGAAACAAGGTGCAGTTTTATACAATGGTGTGGAGAGCTAACAGCCCAGAATTTGCTCTTAAAAGTTCCTTTGCCACAAATTTACTGCAGAACGTCAACCAGCTAAATTTCTACAACTCATGTTGTAGATGATATTGTAGAGTTATGAGCTGAAAAATAATTTCAAATGCCTCTGCCATATTTCATTGTAAATCTATTTCAGCTCCATCACTACATAATGCCACAGCACTTATGATGGTAGTATGAATACAGCACTTATGTATTCCAGTGTAAATACAGACACTAAATACAGACAGTTTTCCTGGTACTGACATTCATCCACTTTACCTGTAGAATTGGACAGTCTCACTTTCCCACATAGTTAGCAATTGAATACATGTAATAAACAAAACAAACAAATATATAGTTTTCAATCACAATGCTGTAAATAGTAAACAATAGACAAAAAGTACATGTAGGAAACACATGAGTGCATGAGGTATATCTACCTTTTTGGCTTTCCTGTGGCATCAGTACCCAAGGCAACAAGACCAACAGAACAGCATGTTTACAGTTATATCTGCCTTCAACATCTTCTACAGATAACTTACAAACTAGGATTTTACATATTCCACGTACCTCACCATTTATCACAGTTGTCACATGATGAACATGTTTCTACAACTTTTTGTTGGCCTTGCTTCAATGCTTACAAATACTTGTGAGCAAAATTTGCCTTCCTTTAAATGTGCAAAATCATATCCTTCCTGTCCTCAACCTGGGGCTGAGACTATGGATTGATCACAACTTCCATAGTCATGGAATTCTGCAATCCATGGCTATAAATATACCTGCTATGACTTAGCATTGTAAGCTAGATTTCTCTGGTTCATGGGGTTCTCCGGGGACTTCATCCAGTCCTTCTTCAGCATCTGTTTGAGTTGAGACAGGCGCATGTTGGGGTTCTCCTGCTTCAGACGGGGCAGGTTCTCTTCCTCGTACTTGTTAAAGGCGGCCTTCATGCGCCGTTCTGGGTGCCTGTCTGCAGCTGCATCCTTTACACTGGATGGGGGAAATAAAGGCAACACAAAATGTCAACTGAGGCAACTAAATCATCCATTTAGGTTGAAAAGTATCAACCCAGACAATCTTTAAAGCTACATGTATTTTTTATACAGAATATTCAAATGGCAGTATGAAGATTTGCTTACTCTTCAACTACCAAGATCTTATCTGGCCAGGTTAGAAGTACCAACCTGTAACTGTGTAAGATGTAGAAGATTGTCCTACCTGAGTACAGAGATGGCCTCCTCCACAGACCTTGCCTCCACAGCTCCCTCTGCTGACAGCTGGTCAGCGATGAGTTTGTTCACATTTTCCTCCAGTGCAGCTTCCTCCGGTTCCACACGCTTGGCTACAGGGAAGGAGACATCAGGGGATGTAAGGATGGGGTGGTGACACACCAAAATACTCCCATTTTTCTGACTATAACAGCATTATTCATTTTTACATACATTTTCGCCCCAAATAATAGTAATGAGTTTTGGTGGACATTCTTCATCCTTCATAACTATGCCCCAAAATTTACTTGTACCCCTTGTTTGTAGGTGAGGCTGGGACTTAATGAAATGCCCCTCATACTCATGTATTTCACTTATGATTGTGTGAAAAGAACTACAATACCCTTACCTGCCTAATCACCACCCACACCCATCAAACACTCACCCCAGCCCTCAACCACACCTTACCTTTCAGCTCAGCCTGTTGTTTCTCCTTCTCCAGTTGAGCCTGGATCTGTGCCTGGGTGACTTTCCCCCCTCCCCCAGTCTTGGAGACAGGACCCTTCAGCTGGGCCATCTCCTCCTCCAGCAGCCGCTGTTTCTCCAGCTTCTTCTCAAGATGCTCCTGCTTCTTAGACTCCTTGTCAGCCTACAAGGGAAACAGCCATACGAATGAATGAATGAACAAATGAATGCATTGAGGAAAGAAGGCAAGAGGGGGCAAAACAAACTTACAAATGACTCAATTTGTGTGGAAATGATGATAATGAATGGAAGTAGGAGTAGGACTAGTACTGAACTGAACGATGGATGGAAAGAACATGGGAGGGAAAGATTGGAAGGAAGAAGGAATGAAGGATAGATGGAAGGAAGAAAGAAGGAATGAATGAATGAACAAAGGGCAGAAGGAAGAATAGTACAAACGAAAAAGGAACAAACGAAAGATGGACAGACAAATGGAAAGTAAGGAACGAAGGCCATCAAATCAACACTACATCATTCCACATCAGCTGACCTTCCTCTGCTGCTTCCTTTTGAGATGTTTATCATCGTCTGCCCAGTACGCATCATCCTTGGCCTTCTCTAATCTCTCATGTTCCTCTCGTTTCTTGTTCTCCTTGCGAGTCCGTGCCTCCACGGCCTTTGGGTTGTCTCCCCATTTCTTCTTAGGCATCTTTTATTATAACGTTTGATGTCACAACACAGCTGGTGACAAAATTAAGATCAACTCACCGAGCAGGTACTATTAGTTTCCAACAGTAGTTATCAATACTTGGCACTTGGCAAGCAATATTTCTTGTACTACTAGACTCCATGCTAGAACAATAAATTTGCTTTAGAGAAATTAGACCTTGTACCAATTATAGTACACTGACAGTCTCCCACCGTCCCACGTCATTGGCAATCGAAAACAAACAATTCCCTCCGTTCCCAGAACAATATCTACCGTTTCTAAAATATGTCACAGGCAAGCAGAACAATATTAACGTTATTCATGTTAACGGTGTGTTGCAAGATTTCCTCATTTCCAAAGATAACATTACCGTGATTACGGTGTTGAAAAACACATTATCCTCTACCAACAGTAATTCTATTTAAAGCCAAGTCGCAAATCATGAAATCGGGAATTCTCAGCGTTAAGACCACCTTCTTACCTGTCCTGTCGGGTCTGTAATATGGCAAAATTTTGAGCGAAATGTATTCTCTATTCGTCATACCACCATATTTATTCCTCCTTCCCACAATTCTTTTTTGGACGATTCGACTGAGGTAGTCTGGGTGTCAATTTTTCTGCTTTCGTTTCAAAACTTCTACAGTAACAAAAAAATCATAATTTCCCTTTACAGTAACAATCAGTGGAAAACTAATCTACCTTTTATAGCACAAGATCATAGCAAGAAGAATTTTTCTTTGAATCCTTCAATTTGGACCCTATGATCTCAAATGTGATATTCCACAGAAAAGATGGCGGACGACAACCCGGAAGTGAAGTGCTCTCCAAATACTTGCAACGAACTCACGACAAATGCAGCGGTGCGGGACCAAGAAAACATGGAGGTGGACCAGAATGGGCACCAGGAAGAAAACGATGGGAAAAACTGGGAGCTGACACAGACCGACAAGCTGAACAAGTCCCTCCTAACGTCATTCCTGGATCGTCTGAACCAGCAGGAAGCGCCATTCCCACAGCAGACGGCAGAGGAGGATGAGAGGTTCGGCACTTCCGGTCCGGAGGAGCAGGAGTTCGAGGACTGTGCGCCGAGCCAGGACATCCCTCCACTTGTCAGAAACACAGGACCTGTACAAAATGACTCGTGAAGGACACGTGCATTTATGTTAAACACATCCTTTGTTCAACACAATTATGTAACGTTAATGTCATTACCATAGAAATAATTATCATTCATGATCCTAATTATCTTTCTTGAACTTCTATTCTGTGTAACATAATGTTGCATCCATACTTGATACCACTTATAGGATTCTATACGTCTACGAAGCAAATATAATGCTTTTCAGATGATAGCTATCATCTGGTATCAATGGCCTTTCCTCTCATGTTACATTCATTTTTGATTGACTACTGTAACAGTGCGGTTCAAGTGCCACTACCTAATGCAATTTTTTTTGCGATTCCAACAATGAGACTAGCCATTGAAAAGGCATGCAACTTTTGCGAGCTCCAGTCGAAGATCACAAGACTGTGCAGTGTCAGTGACTACTGAGCCAACATAGGGGATCCACAAAACAGACTTAGAGAATGGGGCAGGCAGTAGTAATATCGTTGAGGGGAAGAACAGGACTTTGATTATGGTCTCGCACTGCAGATTTGTGTGTTCAAGAAATTAAAACAAAAGAGGCCGAAGACTGATGTTAAACTCAAAGCACAGTCACGACCCTACTGTGCGACACTTCTTTCTTATGTTAGTTGAGAAGAATGTTTGTTCAGTATCTCAAAAACATAATGTTGATTCCTTTGGAGCTACATGTATTAATAAAGTTGACATATGTTGATGACTCTATAAATTTTTGAAGAGCCTTACCATTTGTACACATGCATTTTCTTCGTTTCATCGATGTAGTAAAAGGCAAATCCTGTGCTTTCAGGAACTTGAAGCAATGAAACGTGTTTTTGGCATGAGTTCTATTGTTTCTCTTTCAGTCTTTGCAATGATTCAGCGAACTGTGATATGGCAGTAGCCTCTACCTGGCTTCAGGTTAACTCCCCTGGCATACTATTCCCTTTATTTTGACCAATTTCTAGTATTTTTCCAGCCATCCGCGGTGCCTGACAGAGGCTAATAACATTGACAGCACTTCGTGCCATCTACACCCTGCAATATGTTATCAATCCGCAAGGTAGCGTTCTTACAACCATAACATGCAAAATGGCGGTCGGGTGATTAGTTCCATGTGGTTGTGTGTGAATTTTACGGTAAAACAAGCATGAAGAAGTTAGTTATCGGTATCGGAGGGTAAGAACACATTGATCACGATCGCAAGTCTTGTTATTACCTGTAGACTTCAAGTTTCCGCAAACTGCAGCATGTATATAACGGTTATAACCTTGAGACGTTGGTGATTTAAAGATAATTTCAAGTCGTTTTCTTATCAACCCCGTAACGTTATATAATTTCAAAAAGATGGATTTATAATGTATAAAATGCGCTTATTTTACTGTGTTGTGGAACATTCGTAGATAAACGAAAAAATTGTATTGACTAAATATGTACTGACTACTAGCTGATCATGTCAGTCATCACGGTAAGTTGCATTGAGCCGATGTCATACATTTTGGGGAGGCGGCGTATTCTGTTTAGTAGGGCTATAGGTAGTATAGGGTCCTTTCCAGAATAAATTTTGCGGTTCATCTGTACTAGAGTGAGCAATGGTGGCAAGACCACGTTGACCAGCAAGTTGAAGAATGTTCTCCCCAATTGCTACTCATTGCACCAGGACAGTTATGACTGCTACACCTTCCATCCAGACAGTTTGGGCAAGGTAATATAACTATAACACAGTCATGAATTTGTCAATGTCGCTTTGTTGTCTTTCACAGTGTATCCAATGGTGGGAAGACCACCCTAAGCAGGCAGCTTGTGACAGCCATCCCAAACTCTTGTCTCATGCACCAGGATACTTACTTTAAGGTGTAAATGTGTAATGTTAACCCCGTGGCGTTAGTGCTTATCACAGTGAGTTAAAAAGGATGAATGTGCATGTGCAAGGTCAAAGATGAAGGCCCCTAACAGATTTTGTTTAGACCATGCTCAAATTACCATGTCCAGATTTATTTTTATTATTAACTCATGCAAGTCAAGTTAAACTTGAACTGCCCTTATTGCTTCCACATTTTATATAAATCAAGTAAAACACAACAGAACTAGTACTAGTAGTACTGTACTATGTGTGACACTATGAGGCGATTCAATGGTTATGTATTGCTGCTATGCTAAATATGTATGGCAATCACTACCATACAGTTCATCAGGACATGGAAGGACATTCTGGACTTCTCACCATTTCATGCAAGCAGTAAAATTTAGGCAAAAGATGGTACATTGTATCACTGCCAAAGCTCTAGGGTTCATTAGGGGCTAACATGTATTTTTGTTGTTGCAGGAGCCAGGTCATGTCCAGATAGATCCTGAACATGGCTGGATGATGTGGGATGGTATGTGTCCAGCAGTGGAGACTTAATTTTAGTTCATGGTATTCAATGCCATTCAGGGCATTTGATGTTTGGATAACTTTGGAAACCTGCCTGTGCCTAACCTTTGCCTGTTCATGATCATCTGTTGTTTCCCAGAGTTATCAGCTGTACACAATGATGTCATGCTGGAGGATGTGAAGAGATGGTTGGAGAACCCAGCAGCTTTCAGCCAATCAGCAACCAGCACTGGAGACAGCACTGATGTACATGTCCTTCTTATTGAGGGTTTCCTCATCTATAACTACAGGTGTGTCTGCTTCTGTAGGTACTCATAAGGCCACACTAATTCAGTTGCTTGGTTCTCAGACATTTGCATAGAAGTAAATAAGAAACAGGGATTCTGTGGTAGACCCAATACCACTATACAGGAGCCACAAAGTAGGTTTTGAAGTTGCTTGACTCACAATCTTTATGAATATCAGTATTTGCATGTTCCATTTCAGGCCCTTAGAAAAAGTGTTTGATGCAAGATACAGCTTTGTTTTACCATTTGAAGAGGCCAGGAGGAGAAGACTGTAAGTATAATACATGTACAGCCTTCATTCCTAATTACCACATACCAAATGAATGAATACGTGAATCAGTCATGACCAGTATATCCAAAGATCCTAATCCGTCCATGCTGTTATAAACATCTTTATTCTTTCATATACAAGTTTCCCCGTTGTCACTTGTTGACCATTGTACCTTCCCAGCTCCCGTACCTACACCCCCCCAGACTCTCCCGGTTTCTTTGAAGGTCACGTGTGGCCCATGTACCTTAAGTACAAGAATGAGCTTCTGGATCTTAACATACAGACAAGTAAGTTTTTTTTGCTATTTCTGTTGTCTTAATAATGTATGATAAAATAACTGTATAACAAATAAAACACAGGATCCAGTGAACATTTTGCTTGACTTATATAGTTTAAAAAGCTAAGGGCCATGTCAAATTTGTCTAACTTTTCAAGTTGCTTAATTGATAAAATCATTGTTTCAACAGATGTCCCTGCTTTTGTAGCTACTAGTGGTATACGTTTAGTAATTGTTTAGCAGTCAGTTGTTGGTTTGACAAATAATAAATTCTTTGATTAATATGTGCATCCCTGATTCTGAGTCACTTCTTGTGGTCCTAGAAGATGTTGTAAGACTACAGGAACTAATGAAATGATGTTACGTTTCAGTTGATCTTGATGGAACAAAACCAGTGGAGGAAAACTTTGAGAGGGTCAAAACAGACATACTGGATATGATCAAACATCTAAAGGATAGCCAGATATGAGACAACTACTTTGAACCATATTTATTGCCAAAAAAGCATATTAAATTATTGCTATTGCAGTACAGTACTTTCATTCACACAACACAGTACAATATGTATTCACGGTAATGATGCAATTCTTTCAAGAAAGTCTTTGGGCATAATACAGGTTCATATATACATGTAAATGTATAGCGTATCTACTACAGTAAATTGGTAAGCTAAGCCAATGTCATTTTATAGTAAATGTAAAAAGTTGCATTCATTGTCTACCACATAATGTAAGCTTACCTCTATCAATCAATCAATCAATCTAGATATTTTGTATGATCATCAAGTAAAAGAGACATGTAGCTGGAAGTGTACAAATTGCAGCATGTAGTTGCTTATGAAATCCCTGATGTTTGGAATAGCCATATATGTTGCTTGTGTATTGCAATATTTCATTATTAAATATTTGTACTAAAATTTGTGCGGTTCACAGCTGCACTTAAAAGCTCATAAAATGCATTCATGACCAATCATTTTACAAAATGTTTGAGATATGTGTTTTCACCTCCATGCAGTGTTGAATACATCCCGATATGGCGGAACAGGTTAGGTTCTACAGCAAATTGCCGGTATCCCTTACTCTTGACAAATCCGTCCACTGCAGTGTCTACCGGGTACCCACGACCACACGTCACTCCCTCCAAAAACGTTACCAAGTCTTGCGCTGCAGCTCTCGGGAATAAGGTCGCCGGCAGGCAACAATCATTGGCATCAAGCATGACATACAAGTATTTTGATATCCTCCTGAGTTCCAACAAATGCGGTCTGGAAACTACAAGGGCTGCTATTATACAACAGACCACACTTGAGAAAAAGAATCCACTTAGTAGTGTCCAGCTTTGCCCCTTTTCAACAAGTACGATATGTAAAAGTCTTAAAAGAGTCCCACCCAGCAACCCATAGCCGACTAACTCAGCCAAGTTGGCAGCAATACGTTTTGGCTTCACAGTGTGAAAATCTCTTTGGATGTACTCGGGCATGTAAAGTTTTAAGAAGTTCTTTGCGTCATTGTTTGTGGTAAAATCCCAACCGTGACGAGTCCTTTCGACTTTAGTTCTTATGATATAATCCAAGACATGGAGAGAGCCTGGTACAACTAAAGCATCATCTTGCAGAAGGAGCACGTATTGAGGATCCGTCTCCAAACTCTTCCTCAGACAGTAAACATAATCCTGTTTTTCCTTCTCTAGTTTGCTATTTGGCACGTTGACACCATTCCCATATCTTGACACCATAGAGAAGAAAGTTGACAGGTAGACTGCATCAGTGTGTGCAGAGGGTTCAGGGTCCATGTTACAGATAATTATTTGTGTGTTGGGTTGATTTTCCTGGACGACTGCAGCGACTGTCTGTAAAAGATAGCGAGGAGAATACTCCTCAGTGGGGTGGACTGAACGTGTCCTGCGGGTGGTCAGGAAGGCAACTGTTGTCCTGACATTGGAGGTGGTGTTGTAGTTGCTTAAGTTGCCGCTGTGGAGTACATTTTCTTGAAGATGCGCCAAGACTGACTCAGATGCGAAGAATTGTTCGGCCTTTGCGATGCGTTCATTGTTTACTTGCCTGGCATAAACGCTGGGGCTTAGGTCCCACAGGTAGAGTTTTTGACTGTAGTACAGGGAGAACGGAAGTCGGTAGCAGATGGGTGGGAGTATCAGGCCAAACACAAGTATGTAAAGGATGATGACATCACATATCTGTTTTTTAATGATAGTAGAGCGACAACAACACAATCGAGGGAAGTTCATCTCTGGAACATTGACATGTAACTGGTGCCTGAGATATTTGTTCACCAGTGGGTGGTTATGAGATCCTGCTAGGCTAGTTTCAATGATGATTGCCACTTTCCTCTAGTCTTGCATTCCACTCCATCTTCACATGGAGTACCTGTGGCACAAAGAAACATTGTTTCATTTAACAGGACTTTGGCATTCGTAATACATGTAAAGATATTTGAAATTTACACTATTATTATTAAAAAGCACCATGTGACTGGCAAAAGCATGTTTGCAATGCAACACGGCTGAGGTGACGTCATACAAAAAGTATGTACTATAAACACAGAATTCAAACTGGGCGAATTGATTAACACGAGTGTTCAATATCCCATTTGTCAGTGCAGGAAGCTTTCATCAACGTTGATGAAAGCACGTCGCAGAGTAATATTGGGTCTACGATTTTTTTTTTCATCAAAACATGAAAACATAACAAGGACAGTGTGGCGCTGCACTCAAGTCTACGATTGCTGTGGCCACATGTGGATGGTTTGATAAACCTTCACGAAATATCCCAGAGCCCATCCTTTTTTCTCATTCAAATATTGAATTAGAATATGCACATAGGGTCCTCATGTCATGGCCATATTGTTTCCGTAGTACTAGTAGCCTGGCAGGGTTGAGGTATGGAAACTACATGACGTTCCAAATGACGTTGCAGTATTTGCTATCCATATTTTCTTTAGCTTTATACACTTTGGTTACTATTTTCATCTAGTGGTATTACAATCACGGGGCCACACTCTGCACTTGCGCTACCTACAGCGACTGAAACAAACGAAACCCAGCACCAAATTATCACGTCTAACGACTAAATAAACCAGGACAACAACAAAATCAATCGCCAACCACACTGAGTTACTGTATCCGTGTACACAGCTCGCAGGAAGTTACTCCAGCAGGTGAAGCTGGCATCGTGAAAGGGAGAGGTAATGAATTCAAAATGACTGCCGTAGCATGTCGCTCACTCACCTGAGTCTTTTTGTCACCGGATAACGACTATTTTCCTGTGAAATTCTGGTTTGAAACGACTGGACTCGACTCATGCCTCGTCCGCCATTGTGACCTCCCACCCTTATTACCATGTTTATAGAGCGTTATTCTTAGCACCACTTCTCACGAGAAGCCCGCGCCGCGGGGGTAATCAGGAGCGGCGGCGTGACGCGGTGTTTAAAGGGCACCGCGCTGTGGGCTCCACGGGGGTCATGTTACGGAAACTGGGGGGAGCAGAAATAATACTAGTAGTATTAGGTCGAGACCATTTGTCAAAATAGGACTTATTCGCAACGTTGTGTTACCTACTATCGATGAGGTTCAATCCATATATTGACCTCCTTGTTACTATGTGTATGGATGTGATGATTTTTTTTGGGGGGGGGGGATTAGGCTGATGCCTTTTGGGGTTCATGTATATGAGTTACGTATGGCTTTTGCTTTCTCTAAGTACCTCTATAATATCACAATAAAGGTATTCACTCTATTATATGGCTTCATCAGAAATGTCATGTTCTGTTATACACTAAAATACTATTGGCAAACATTTCACACCAACCTATGCCTAACGACAGCATGCTTTAATTTAATCATGGAGCTTCCACTCATATAACGTCCTTGATTTAATTGTCTGCAAAATAACTGTCAAGAATATCACAGTGAAATGCAAAGACTCAACAGCAGATACACAACTGTATATCTTATCTTTACAGTGCCTGACAGTGACAACTTCACATGTCCAACATGCATGTATATATACAAACATACATGCACATCTCAGTGACACTTGGTGTTGCTATAGACTATCTTACACTTCATGTACACCTGAATGAGATGTCAATTTAAGCAATTACTACGACATAAAACTATGCATAGGCTGTCCTGTGTTAAACAAATGTGGCCACAAGACAGTAAATATACTGTAGTTAAAAAGACTGTGAATGATAATAACAATAGATCATACAGCCTAGCTATTCTCACAAGATCTGTAAAAACTGTTCACAATGGGTGTTATATGGGGCACCATAAATTATGTCATTACTTGGATCTCAGCAACAGCTTTCTTCTTCCAACTTGAAATGCAATTTCAGTAGCTCATTGTGCAATGTGGCTTTTCTATGGCTTGTGCGTTAAGCTAAGCACACTGGGTAATCCCCACTCTTCTCAATAAGCTGGTGTGTTGGGTTCTTTTACATACAGAGGTTCAAAGAGCATGGTGAGACCTTCAAAATGACAATTTTTACTGATGTCTCCTTATTTTGACCCCAAGATATCTGATCAGCATCAGTGTGCAAGCATGTCTAATGCTCAGAAAACCATTAAACCAGATAGTGAGCCAGTGTTATTCTACTTCTCCCAAAACTAAGGATTCCTGCACTTTATATGCAAAATCAGGCTGTGCAGATTTTTTTCCATAAAGCCACTAAACCTATTCTCGAGCTCACACACTCACTAGATTGTTAACCATCTGTCAATGTCTTGTGGTGTTCTTCCACATACAAGGGGACAATAGCTGCCCATCTGAATACATCTTATAGATCAACTTCATACTTGCCGTAAATTCATTTACTTTCATGTTGGTTTTATTTCGTGTTAGGAGGTAAAGGGATGTTTTTGCAATGTTTTAAATTTGCAACTGAAGCATTTCTGTCTGTTGGCTTCTTCTGCTGAAGCATTTCTGTAGTACAGTAGTAATACATGTTGGAAATGCATATTGTGATGAGTTCGCAGTGAAGAGTTCATTGTGAAAACCACCAAAATAAAACCACCATGAAAGTTTCTAGATTCACAGTTATGTCTGCACAATACGTTAATGTTTTTCAGTACCTATACAGCTATAGAGTGGCAAGAGGGCCCCTAGATGTACAGTAACAAGGTCAAGGAAAGTTTGTATGGCAAGATGTTTAAAGCAGCATTGGTCAAGAACACTAGCACTTCCTCCACAAAAGTGCTAAGAATTTTGTCGATACACTCAAGTCCATGGAATCAGACTGGAAAATTTGTTAAACATAATCCTTTTGTCTCTTTCTTCTGGCTATTGCACACTGTCCTTCAGCTAAGCACATGAAGTACTTACACTATCTCAGACCTTTAGCTTTTGTCTAAAACAATACCAGTTCCTTAGCCATTCTCTAAAACATTAAAACATACCTGGGAAGACATTGTCTCTTATCAGGCTAACTCTGAAACCACGTTACATACGACAGCCAAAAAGAATCCCAAAAACCGTAGTCCAATTGTACTTGAGTGGAGCTTATTTGAAGATATTTTCCATAAGGAAGTTGAACTGAAAGAAAAAAGCCTAGCAACGCTTTTTTTTCATTGCAGTAACATTTCCTTCTACTACTGGTACTTAAGTGATTTTGTGTTGCAGATATTTTGAACAGAATATAACATGGATGAAAAAAAACCAACTGACTTCACCCCTGAGGCAGTGACCAACAAAGCACACATTGGTCTTTCCCCCAAAACTTTCAGACAAGTCAGTCCTTCCCATGTCGTGATCTGGAGCTGATGTGCCTTGTCTGTACATTGAAGCTTGCAAAGATGGCCGGTCTGTCAAACTTGAAGTTAAGAAAGGCAGGGGGAAGAGAACTTCGGGATGTTCTTGTTGTCTGAACTTGAAGTTGCACAGTAGCTGGCCATGGCATCTGCAATACAATTACAACATTGAGTTTGTTCAAAAGAAAGAAGCTGAAAGGGAAGAGAACTTAAACAAAAATGTACGAACAGTGACAGACCACATTACAAGAAACGACTGTGTAATAGATTGGGAGGAGGACAAGGGGTCATAGAGAGCAATAGATGTTACCTGCAAAAAGGTCATCAATTCTTTTCCTATCTGCTCTTCCATTATGTTGACCCTGGAAAATCAAAGATAACATAAATGTTTTTGATATTTGTGTTGAAAAGACAACCTTATCATTATCAACCTATCCATCCAATCAGGCAACATGCCTGCCCTATTCTTAGCTAGCCCTCTCCTTGTAAGTATGTTGGAACAAGTAAAAGCACCTTGAATGGACCACAGCTAGCTGATTGGGGGTTTGGGGCAAAGTTTATTAACCTGTCCACTGTCATGTCATATATCGTGTTACTCGTGTCATATATTATTTCTACAGATTTTCAGAGGTTTTTGATTCAATATGTTTTGTACATTGTATTAAAAATTTGAATGCAAATTCCAACTGAAACTCACAGATGACTTCTTCTTTCCCTTGCCCTTCTTGTCAGGAGTCTGCCCATCTCCCTCACTGTGCTTGTGCCTGCGTGAGGCTCGAGTAGGTGGCTCCTGTAATTACATAACAGAAAAATGTGCCTGTCTTTTGGAACATGTTAAAAATGCACACTTCACCCACACAAAAAGTCATGTTTCTCCATAATTGGTACACAATACAAAACACTGGCTGTCTGTCTATCAACCATAAAACACTATTCAAGAATGAATGATAGGAACTTCATTAACCTGACAATTCAGATATTCTTCAAACCCTTTCTGGCTTTGCTGTGCGAAGTATAGCTGCTGTTGTGCTCGATGTCTGTCTGTCAGTGAGACAAGGCTGTCTTTCTCCGGGGTCCCGTCTGGTGCAGAGTCCTGCTTTCTCCCCTTCTGACTCCGGTTGATGTTGGTCGCCGATGACGCCGTCTTGGCTACTGCTGTGTCCGTCAGGTGTTTGGAGGGAGGCAATGAGCTACCAGCTTTCTTTCTAGTTGTGATCCACTTTCTCAATGTTCTAGGTTAAAATTGAGAAAGAGATATATGAAACCTCACAAATGAAAAAAATATATATGCAATTAATGCAATAGCTATGTTTGTTTTACATAACTGTTAAAGCACATTTTTAGGCACAACACACCAAAGTAAGTACAAGCTGCATAAGACCAGACAGTAAGGTTTGATCCACTCACTCCAGAATACACCCCTACTCTTTTTGGAAAGTAAGTAAGAATCTTTAATGTGCTCAAGGCGTGAATCTCCTAAAACATACTACTAGTATAAGGATCTCCTGATTTACGTCCCATCCCAAATGACGTCCTTAACTGAAGCTTGGCACTCAACTTCTCCTAGACTAAGTCTACGTCAAGTGAAATGAAATGTTCATGTAGCCTTTACCAAAGGTACAACATTTTGGCCCGATATGGTTTCGAACCCAGAACCACTAGATTCTAAGTCAACCATCCTGACAGCAAGACCATGATGTCACCTGCTACGTGTGTATACTAACAGTGAAAAGAACCTGGGCTCTACTTCAAAATGTTGTGACTACATTTAACACCCAGTGATGAAGTATCCTTACTTGATAAATGGCATGACCATGAAGAAGTTGTTGGGGCTCAGACCAAGGTTGGTTTTGGGTGTGGTATCCTTCTTGTGTGCTGGCAGGTCCTCTACTCGGAACCACTTCAGACACTGAATCAAGAACAGCAAAACAAATTTTTCAGTCGTCTAAAAAAACATCATAATTATGATGCAACCCTTGAATTTTCTTGAAGTTATACAGAAAATATCTTTAATTTTCTAAACAAACTTATACAGAAATTGTAGTTGCCTGCATCCAGTACCTTGATCTCCTTTCGTGTTTTAGGTTTGAAGTCTGTTTCCATGGAAACCCCTGCAACGATGTACAGTCGGACAAGCTGTTCATTCATCCTGTGTTCGATGTACGCCTCAGGGTCCAGTAGCGGTGTGATGTCAAAACTTGTCTCTTCTAAAACCTTTGTGTAAAATGAATGTTTGTAAGAAATTTGTGAAAAAAAAAGATGTGTGTGAGCCTAAATCACAAAACTGACACCAAAGGAAAATGCAATCAATATGTGGTAAACATTTTGTCAGGAGCATATTTGCCCTATTGCCAAGGAGCCTGTGTAGGCCTGGGAAGCAGTCTAAGTAAACTTGAGATACATACCTCTCTAATAGCACAGGTGTCCTCAGGCTCATCCTTGTTCACTTTACCCTTAGGAAACCCCCAGCTGGCTTTAGCTAGGTATCCTTGTACAAGTAAAACCTGTGGGACAATGAGAAAATGAATTAGCAGCATTAGGCAAACAGAAAATTGGGGACACATATACGACCCTAACAAGAGTTTCATTTCTGATATTACTTGTCCTTATATACTTATACATGTCCTGTAAATTCAATCACTTTACTGGTGGTTTTATTTCATGGTAGGAGGGAAAATGAATGTTAACTAGACTTTCATAGTGTATTCATTCAAGCATGAAACATGAAAAAGGGATGAGACATTTGCAGTAAAATGAATTTGTGAAAAATGCAAACATAAATCATTGCAAAAGTTTGAAGAGTTACAGTATCATACAAAAAGAACAAAATAAGCAAAAACATGTATGAGTTATAAAGTCATACATATCATATTACTTTGATGATAAGTGCATTTGATAATCAATATTCTTACATTTTCAAGTGATTCATCAAGAAGAATGCCACCATATGTAGGAACACTCATTTTGTAGCTTCTCCACTCGGCCATTATCTTATCCACAGTATCCACATGTTCATTCAGGAAGGGACAATGCTTGAAAAGTGCAAAAAGATGTTAAGGAAACAAAACAGTTTTGCAAATAAGTTTATTGAACATTCTTGCCAGAAGGATAACTCCAAGTAAAACAGAAAGAGAAACTAACAATGGAGAACAAACAATAACATGTGACATATATCTTTTTAAACCTTCTTGATATATTCTAGTCTAAATGCAGACTCTAAATCCTAACTTGCTGACTCTAAATTCTAACATCCTTTTCTGTTTTGCTACATTTTGCATTCTTCTTTTTTTTTCAGTGCACTTTCAGTACATTTAAGTACATGTATTACTCAAAAAGGATATTGATAGAGGAGAAATCCCTCATGCCACAGGAAGGCAGCTCTGGTCTCTCCTGTCGGAAGAAGTCCAGGTAGAACCAGTGGGCGAGCTCGATCTGGAAACACACCCGGATCAGGTCATCTCTCTCCTCACTGGGGATGTTGATGATGAAACGACTGGAGAAAGGAAAAACATCATCATTATCTTAAGTCTAGTGATCCTATTTCAAACAAATAACACAAGCCACTGTTGTCATATCATCAGTTTCAACAATTTTTGCAGCAATCTGAATCCACAACAAGATCAAAATCAAGGAGATCCTGGATTACAGGGAAAAATACATCCTTGACAAATGCCTTTTCCCCTACTAGACTCAAACTCCACTTGCTTACAAAATAATGGGGCTGATTATGAAAAATGATAGAAAATTTGTCAAAACGAACATCCTATGACATCCTTCCCACTGTTTTTCTTTTCTTTTGATTCTCTACAGTCTACTACCAAGGAGCTTATAACCTCCTTGCTATACTACCAGGGAGGTTTTGAACCTCCTTCTGAGTCCTTGCTAAGTACTGCACTAGTAACTACTTATTTCTTCAGACCCACAAATGGTGTTTGGCGGGGTTAGAGTCACAGTCCCTACCTGGCCGAAGACTCTAGCTACTCTAGAGAAATTAATCTCCAAGCAGATTCTACGATGATTGGCCGATAGGCCACCGTTGGATCTGCTTGGAGCATCAAGCTCCTTGCTTGGAGAAACCCCCTCCCCTATAGCTATAAACGCCACGGGAAATATTTATCATATACCCACCTGCAAAGATCGTCCAAAACATCGGTTGGTATGGCCACCGTCGACATTTCCATACCTGTGTCAAAACGACGAAATGAATTCCAAAGAATGCCCGATTATAACGTTACTCTTAGATCGATATTCGACAGTCGAGGATCGATCAAAACAAATGGTCGGTCACAAAGATGGCGGCGTATCTCGTAGAATCTCGTTTTCCTTTCTGGTTCAAACCTCCGAGAATCAACGAGACCAGAAAGATTTTAAGCCTTTCAGCACTTTTGCATGAATTTTACCTCCCATAAGAAGTCCTACTTTACCTTCTCAAACGATACCGGAGGCTAAATCATGAACAGGAGTTCTGGGACACTGAGTTGCGGGGAAAGAAATGGTAAAGAAATGACTCACCGGGATTTTCATTGATCATGTGACGTTTTGACCCCAGGCTGACCTTTAAAGATGGCGGCCTCCATGGGAAAGAAAGTTTGTTTTCGTTTTACATGTGACTTTTATAGTTCCTAGCAAGTGAATATGCTTCCAAGACGTACCATCACCATGTTAAATCGGCTAGCGTGTCTCAGACTAACATCACGCCTACTCAATGTTCCCTGGGCCGCGGTGCAGTCTGGACAGAATGTTGAATCTGTTCTCCCAGCTGTCTTCTCAAGAACCTTTCATGAAGACTTCTTGGACAAGCGAATTAAAGATCGGATTAAACGTAATCCTTTTGATGAGCCCAATGCTGGAGAGCTGTCACAGGATCTGGACAGGTGAGAATCAAATCATATGGGCAATCTGTGGTGCACTGAAGGGATTTGTTATAACAAAAATGAAAAATAAAGAATTCTTTTAATAATTATATATTATAATTATAATTGATGTACATGTAATATCTACTAGTTTATATAAAAACAGAAAGTTCTTCATTCATGTCCATGTTGTTCTTTTTGCCACTGTTGATTATGTGATTCATCATCATGCACTTGTAGAGAATTGAAGCGGAGACAAGTGAGTAAGAAGAAGGCCATCATTGGGAGAAAATATGGTTTCAAACCAAAGGGAGCTCAGCCCCGCTTGCTGACGTGGGATGCCATAGAACACATCTACTTCTTGCGAGCTGAATATCCAAAGGAATGGCCGCTGCAGAGACTTGCAGAAGGCTTTGGAGTGGACGTTGATATGATCATACGAGTCTTGAAGAGTAAACACAGGCCATTGTCGTCGGAGAAGAGAGCACTTCACGATCAGCAAGCCCTGGCCAATCGCAGACAACTCGGCCTACCAGCCCTCCCTCCCATACAGCCTGAACAGAGGATAAGGAAAGCTCTACCACAGCAGTTAAAAACAGTCCTGCCACAGACAAATCTAAAGATGCTGTCACCTGTCCAGAAGGAGATGGTACACCATCTTGGACAGATGAAACAAAGACTGGAGCAGAGATATCAAAGGGCTATTACAGCAGGGCCAGGGACTGAAGAAAGCAATGTTGTTGAAATTGAACTTCGAAAACATGAACCACAACATCTTGAAGATGTAGTCAAGGGCACATGGAAGCCACAACAAGGCAGCAAAAGTTCTCGGAGTGGACACAATGTGCAGCCAGTAGCTGGCAGGGCAGACTCTGGTGGTGATGATGATGGCTATATGGTGGAAGACATTGATTTGGACTTGATACAAGAAAGATTTGAAGATATTATGGAAAAGTACCCAAATGTGGATGATGAGGAAGTAGTGGAAAAAGATGGCCAGTTCTTTACTAAAGATGGAGATTTTTTGTATAAAGTGTAAAAGGTGTATGATAATGGGCTTTGTCTCAAAGGCATGTCATCTTTATTGCATTATAATTTGAATGAATAGAAATCAGTAGAATCATACCATTGCTATCGTTGTCTTACTATGAGTAGTAGTCTAGAACTCACATGATATGTATCATTAGGAGTTTTCTACCAAGGCCCAAAATGTCTAATGAAAAACATGTTCATGTACTGTGATGTACGAGGGCAGTTCAGTGAAGGTTTTGCATCATTACAACAGTATGGCCGAAACTGTGTTTGAATTTTGAGTGACATAAAATGTCTAAGTACTGACTGTTGTAGCATTCAACAGGATTATCACATTTCCAGAAAGCCATGTTACTGTACCTAACACTAAGCAAAACAAGTACAACACAAAGAGAATTTTACAAGCAACTGGAATTTACATGCAATGCAGACATAGATAAACATATCTTAGGCTATGGTGCAGACTACATTGCAGCATACCTCTCATGTATTCAAAACACTAGACTGTAAGTACAGATGTTTCAGAGGTGAGGAAGTTCCAGTCCTATAGCTCTCCCAACATGTAGCTCTTTACACTATACATGTATGTATGTCCTGGAAAGATGCATCAGTTCCTGTTGATCATTCCATTCAATGACATTTGCATTATCCCCTGGCTTTAATTCATTTATCTTATTTACAATTATTTTTTGAGGATTGGCCAAAAAGTAGTAATGTACATCTAGGCCCTCTCCTCACACAGACAAAGTAAAATAACATCTGCAAAAGCACTGGCTCTGTTAACAATGACTATAAAGTAGTGGTACATGTACAATGTATCATGAAAAGGTCATCTGACATCATAAACATTGAGCAGAGACAGTTTCCTCAGTATTGGTGCACTTGAGGTTGCACATCAAATGTCCATCTCTTTTAAGCATGTAACCAGGTTGCCCATTCCCAGAGCCTGTAGATGTTTGCTGAGGGTAGCCTTGTCGTTGCGGCTGGGGTTCTTTCCCCGCCAACGCATGAAGGCCTGGAAAGCCAGTTCAGCTGTGTCTCCTTCTTTGGCTTTGTCCTGCATAGATGGATTCAACATTTGTAGAGAAATTCATGTGTGGTTGCCTTTTGATAAAGTAAATTTCTTTATTTCACAAACATTGATCAATGGCAATAAAATTCGTACATCCAAACAAATACAACAATTTATGTACTTTTATGGAAAAAGTGGTCCTGTAATGACTGTTACCTGGTATATGTGTTGAATATTTGATTTATTGCATGAGTGGTGACTGGTGATAGATAAGTACCTTTATTGCCCCTATGTTTGCCTCGGATAGCCCCAGTTCCCGAGCGATGGGTCTCCACTGGTGCGCCCCCACTCTTAGTGACAGCCGGTTAAAGACTCTTGGCATTTCTGAAAACAAAAGGTGAAAGAAGAAGAACTGTGTCAGCCTGGGTGTACTCTCCGGGCAACGACTAACACAAGCACACAGTCTACTATCTGTTACTGACAACTAGTACTTCACGTTATAGAGCCTACCTTCTGCTTCCCTCTTCTTCCTATCCTCCTCTAAGAAACAGAAGATGGCCTTGATGCCCTGCTTGCAGACGTCTTGCGGGGGGTAGACCAACTGTGGGTTCTTCTCGACGTTGAACTTCTTCAGACGTGTGAGCCGGTCTAGACATGTCGGGAGTCGCTTCAGCCGGTTCGTTCCAACGTCAATTTCCCTATTAAGTAAGGCGAAATGTATCATTGCGTTATATGTGGAAGCAAAGGTTCATATAGAGTCAACACATATGTCACGCTACATTAATAACTTCAATTCACATAGTAAATTGAGATGTAAGAGACTTCACAAGGAACACACTATAATATGCATGTTAAAATGCAATTTACAAGCTACCAATACACAAGTCTCGGGGGGTAACAACTAACCTCAAGTTCCTAAGAAAGCTGATGCCGTCTGGAAGAGCTTCCAGTTTGTTGTGATCTAGGTACAGTTCCCTCAGGTGACGAAGATTTTCGATGCTGTCCGGAATGTTCCGGAAAGCGTTGCTGTCCAGACCCAGGACTCTCAACTTCACCAACGACCCGATCTCCTCCGGAATCTCAGTGAACCTCTCCCCTCCTCCCCATTGGCCCATGTAAAGTTTCTCTAGTGACGTCAGGTCTAGGACCTCCTCCGGGAAGTCTTCAAACTCGTTAGAGGCGATGCTGAGTTCACGGAGATGACGGAGTTTGCCGATGTCTCTCGGTAGGTACGCGAGGCGGTTCTGGTTGGCGAACAGGGTTTCTAGGTTGGACAGTCTACTTAGTCCTTCCGGGAACTCCTCAATCCTGTTCTTCCCCACCTTGGAGAAAGGATTTGTCTGTTTTAAAGTCTTAAAGAAAATGGCAGTTTAAAGGACATCATTACAGTTTACAGCCTCGAGGTTATTTTACGGAAAGATATAGTCTGAAAAGGAATACTAGTACATGTGCATGATGGCTAGTTCCTGAAGTCTACCTGTGTGAGGACTTTGTAATTTTACTATATGACATATATTGTAACATATAACCTTGGTAAGAGCTGGTAGGTAATTCAGCGAACTAGCATAAATGACACTCACCGCTAGCTCTTTTAGATTCTCAAGATTGCAGACGTCGTCCGGTAACTTGACCAACTTGTTTTCCGACAGTCCCAATTCTTCGAGATTGCTCAACTGACCGATCTGTAATTCAGTAAAACACCGTTAAGATAATGAAAGTAGAGTAAAGAAATTACTACCTTGGTTAAAGGGATGGCAACCTTGATGCATTTAATGAAAAGAGGAGTAAATGCGACCAGAACACTGGTGGTGTTAATAGTGGTGCCTCAGTGCATTTACAATTAAGACGATGCACAATGTCAAGTTTTTATCTGGGAATCAGTTAATGTTCAAGCGTCATGTAAGTGTTTGTAGATAGACTGACCTGTGCTGGGATACTCCTCAAGTTGTTTCCTTCCAACCTCAGCACGAGGAGACTCTCCATCTTCCCCATCTCCTCCGGCAGGTAGGTCAGCCTGTTTTCCTCCAGGTTCAGCCTCAGCAAGTTGACCATCTCTCCTATTGACGCAGGCAGGGTCATCAACTTGTTATCTCTCAGCCACAGCTCCCGGAGGAACAGCAGATTCCCGAGCTCATCCGGAAGTGACGTGAGTCTGTTCCTGGAGAGACCTAGTTTCTGTAGGTTCATCAGCAGACCGATGGAGTCAGGTAACGTCTCCAGTTGATTACCCGTCAACCAAAGTTCTCTTAAAACTTGTAAGTTAGAAATCTCGTCGGGAATGGACTGTAACTTGTTTCTGTCGAGGTCCAGTATGTCCAGTCCAGTCAAAGTCAACAAGACTGGCGGAATCTGCGGAAGACTGCAGTGAATGAGACTTATGTGCGCCAACTTTCGTAAGTTACCAACTTCGTCCGGTAGGCCTTCAAGTCTGGAGTTGTTCGAAAGATTCAAGTATCTAAGGTTTGGCAGTGTTCCTATTTCACTTGGCAACGATTCAAGATCATTGTCTTGGAGGAGCAGTCCCTCGATTTCCTTGATTTCAAAGACTTCTGGAGGGATCGTCTCGAGTTTTTTGTTGCTGAGGTCAAGAGTCAAGTAGCCATTGTCTGGATCTTTGTAAAGTTCTGCCCTATAGTCGACTATAACTGGTTCAGTCGGTTCCTCCGTGTCGTCTGGAACATGTGATAACGGTGATTCTCCCTGCTCGGCTTCAGGCGCGTCCTGTGGGTCGTCGGGCGAGGACGAACATTCATCACGACTGGTCTGGCGTCCCAACTGCGAAATGATCAAGACAAACATTCTTATTGAATTGTACTGTATCAATACAAGGTGCCTCAGAAAGAAGAAAACCATCTTAAATTTGATATGGTATACCCTATCCTCATGATATCCCGCAAGACATTCACCACAGAACATCGATGATATATCAAAATCCATTTGAGCATAAGGCAATGTTTTGGATACTCCATCTGTACATCCTAGGGGTGATGGCAGTTAGATAGTTAAGCTTTGAAGAAATGTTCCTACATATTGTAATTCAACTTAGTAAAAATCTAGACTCTTACATCATAAACATCATACTCTTGGGCTCGATTAAGATTGAGTAACGTCGTGTAGATTGCCATTATCAGTGTCCAGGGCATCATCATCATGGTGTTTATCTAACAAATCAAATGGACGTTTCCTATCGTTAGTTTGTTGATTTATTTGGACAGGTCAACCGTTTGAAAGAACCTGCCCCGTGCGTTGGTGTACCAGTGATTGGTATCAAATAACCCGTTATTTATTGGACTGTTTAGACTAAATGTTCCACACGAAATACAGACACCTTCTTTTCTACCATGCCTTAAGATACACAAAAGAACGCAAACATACTTCTTTAGTTTACACAAGGTTAGGTTATGGGACAAACAATCACAACTAGCCACTCTTTTGTGACAAAGGTGTAAACTTAGTGTTAGTTTCAGTCAAACCCTCCCACGGGTCTTCGTTATTTGGCGGCCACAAATTAGCTTTTTGATTACAACAATACACCACCCTGTCCTTACCTACGATTACAGTTCTTTAGGTGCGAAGTTAATTCTTCGACTTCACAGTCTTTCATGTAGGTAAATTTTGATGTGTTTATGACCCCAAACAAGGGAACCTATGTTAGCTTCTATTTCCACTTAACACATATCATCTCACTTCCCTTACCGAAAACAATGTACTTAGTAAGTGGCAGCTCACAAAAATTGAAGTACATTGTAACGGGTACATTTATACCCACCGCACACTGCCCTAAAGAAGCAAACATAATGTCATAGGCAAGCAGCGATACTGCTGGCCCATGCTAGTATGGTAAGTACCAGATACCCGCCCGTGCATAGGTATGCACTCCTGGTTCTCCCCTTACCGGGCTAGTCGGCGGACTCTGGCGGGGTAAAGAGATCTCCTGCCCGTCCACACGCAGACGTTGGGGACGTAAGACGTTCATAGTCATACCTCTACCCAGACAGTTCCGAACAACACTCCACAGTTGAAGTGGCAAGGCTCGTTGCGCCTTGCACACTGTCGCCGTCTGAAAGACTACGGATTGAGATTTAGTGTAGTTCAATGGGGGTAAGAAATCCAACCCTTGCGCGAACGCTATTGTTGGCTGTTCAATTGTTGCTTGGTTACGGGATAGGCTACCAGGTATCCGGTAACGCACTGTACCTGGCCCTGGCGCCGGTAAAGCTGCAGGTGTGCTGGCGTGTTGTAATTCTATGGTCATTGCTTAATGTAATAGTTTGGCCTTGTTTAAGATACAATTGTAATAAAAAACACTTCACAGACAAAACAAATGGATCACGTAATTACATTAGACTACTAGTATTCAGTAACTTTACCATCAATCCACCGACTATTGTTACCTCTATAGTTTTCGAGGTTAAACGTCTAGCTGTTTGTGATCTTTTTCCCCTATCATGAAAGGCACGATTAAACCACTATTTACTTTTAGCATCCAGTGAGATCGGTGCGACCTTACTACAGGAAAAAATCACGCCCTACAATGTTGCCAGCGAAACAATAACATTATTGTGAACTAAGGGTCAAATTCCACGGCAGCCCCTACCCTTGACCAAACAAACTCTATTCTTAAACTCCGCAACGGTATTCCGTGCACAAAGCAACAATAGTGTGAATACATGAACAGTACTCGCGTTTGCTTGTGTCGCGCATTATATTTAGTGACACATCCATCCATAACACCGAATGTTTGTACAAATAAAAGGTGATCTGTTAATTGTCCCTGCTACACTGGGCAGGCGACGAGATATAACTTGACTAAGTGGCAGAGCATTTTGATTTGTAACGGTTTGACTCAAATGATGACAATGTACACACCTGTATGCTATTGATTTTATCTAAGTCCCCAGACTCCCTACCCATACTCTTCATTCAATTGTCTTTACTTCAGATTCTGTCGCCATCCTTGTTTTAATTTGCACCAATACGTTGGCGATATAAAGTACAAGGTACAAGTGCCACTTCGAAGTCTCTGCCATGTGGCCTGATACATGTACATGTACTACGATAAGGTACAAGTGCCACTTATCGTAGTACATGTACATGTATCAGGCCACATGGCAGAGACTTCGACGTTAGCAAAGACTGCCGAAACTATATGAACGAGTGGGTAAACTAAAAGCAATTTTGATTTTTCCTTCTTTATTCTGCGGGCAATGTTTATTATTATTATTCCTACAAGGACTGTTATTCCCAAACTCGATTCTATGTTGAGGTGCTTTTAAAGACAGAGAAGCGCTGGGAACACATTAAGTAGCCTTCCTCCCCACACCCCATAACCGCTCGGACAATTAATACGTGCACTGCATCTGAAGCAACTACGACATCAAGTAATAGGAAGTCGCACTGCAGTTTTCTAAGCTGTCACAGGACGTCACAGGTATAGGAAAGACTATCAGTCATCTTTTGACAGTCTTTCAGGTAAATGTGACTAGCTTTTCAAGTATTGTGTCTGCTTTGAAATTGTTTAGTAGACAGATATGTGCCCCCGCCCAATTGGACCGGTTGGAAAGGCAGGTACATATTTGTTTTCTCCTGGGTTAGAAAATTGAAGCTTAAAGTAACGAGACCTTGTGGATTAATTACGAAAACCACGGACCATTGAAATGCACAAATTGATATGCGAAATTCGTAAAAAGAACACTTTTGATTAAGGTAATTTGAATCACTATACATATAGTTCGTATTGGGATCAGCAATGACGTCAACGGTCCATGCAGACTTCACACACGTGACCCATTGGCCTACATTCTACACAATAGGATATTTACTAGTCTGTGGACCACAAACACCGCTGTCCCCGCCCC